TTTAGATACAGAGAAATCAAACTACCATCGGCAGAGCTATAGCTTGATCAGTTTTCCCCTATGTGTAGAAACACGATCAAGACAGGTGATTCAGCAGCACCCATCCTGTAGCCGCTTCACAGGGAGCGCAGTGACTGAACATCATTGGTCAAGCCTTCAGATGCCATTCACCCCCTGCCTCCACTTAGCCGTGTCACTCAGCCCTGTATACATGTAGTTTGCAATAATCGTATCATGACCGTCGTGGATTCGGTAAATATTGTAATAGGGCCTGTTTAACCCATATAATTCACTCGCACGCCCGCTGCCGTATAATTAAAATAATACACTCGGGCTGTAATCCGAAAGGGGGTAAGTGAATCAGATACCGGTGTCGGTTTCGTAAAAAGCGAAAAAACCTTCGCGAGGGCCGCAGGGGGATCGGCAGGATCGAAGCCAACCAGCCGTTGGGCTGCGCCCCGATGAATGGAGAGAAAAAAAAGCACAAGCGGGGAAGGGGAGTGCTCCACCTGAGCTTGAGATGATGATATGGCAAACGATCGAGAGCGTCTTTGCCAGCGCGTGAAACGCGTAGAGCGGCGATACAGCGAGGGGGGGGGGACAGTGGCCGAGCCGAACGGGGGAATGCATGCTCGGAGGGGGCAGAGGGAGCCCCGGCGATGGGACGGGCTTTTTGTGGATGGCGCGGAGAAACCTCTTGAAATTCCTCGCCCCCATTGATTGATCCGGCCTAAGCAGGCCGTTGAACCTGGCCTGCGGAGGTGACTCGGGAGGAAAAAGGGAGTCAATACATGGGCCGGGGGGTCACGGGGGAATGACCGGCCATCCAAGGTAAGAGAAAGGTAAAGGAAGCAAGCTTAGTTCATTTTCTTGCCTTTCTTCATTCGTCCATTTTTCCTTTCAGCATTCTTTACATTAACGAAACCACATTGTGGCAGGTAAACAAGCCGGTACGTTAGTGAGCTTACACAATTTAACCAAGTATCAGTTGCTCATCCAAATACTTGCATGGCTGTTTTAAACTACCTCTTAAATCAACGGGGTTTTCTAATGCCGTACCTTGAATCAACAAATGTTGCTGACCCAACTGATAACACCATGTAAAGTAATAAACAAAAATAGAACTTGTCTGATAACTCCGTACGAAAATAATTTTTCGAATGACTTAATAAAAATCAACGTCAGAAGCTGGGCTTACGATATAGCCTATATTCACAATGCATGCCATACTGAGATCTTTAATTGACTGGAAGTGACTTGAAGCGTTTTCATCTTCCCAGCCGCGTGAAATGACTAACAGTCCCCAAGGAAACCAGCGATACCACGAACAGCCTCTCGTTTCGGTCAGAAATATTGTCTTCTTGGAATATGCAAGCTTTGCATTCGAGTCATCAGATCGTATCAATTAGTGCACTGTACTTGAAAAACCAGGAGCCCATTTGAAAAACGAACTATTAGCATCAAGCTACAACGTCGTCGGTAGACCTACCCAAAGACCTAAAAGAGAAAAGACAAAAATCTTAAAGATACAAAAATTGCTCAATTCACCGTCCCATCTTTCCTCTGCTGTTCGAATTGCCATCCTGTGGAAAATTTACGCGTAGGATTTTAAGTTCTACATCGGTTCGCGACGAATGGTATTCGAGTGACCAACGAGAGAGGGCGCGCTGTACGATGCCGACGGACGTCAAGATGATTCAAGTTTTCAACATTTTTCAAGTTGCTAATTCATGAATGGGAAGGGCAGCGCTTTAATGGCAGATTTAGAATGTTATATTCAATCAAACGGTACAAACGCGCGTATAAATCGAATAAACCAACAAACTTATCATGTCTTATTTCTGCAGCAGCCTTATTACTATTCCACTTACTATGCGGAACACCAAAATACGGCATCGTTCTTAAGAATCTGGTAACAATTCAGAGCTGCATAATAGGCCTATTCCGGCTCGCACCATTAATGGCCACGTTGACAAAATGAGATCAAGCTCTTTTATCAAATATGTAAGCAGTTTGATAGTTTTGATCAAAAGAGTTACGAAATATTTACGACAGTGAAGGGGCCTGCTTTATAAAGAAAGAACTCATATCGAGGGAAAAGAGGAGGACCGCTCTTCTGTTTAATATTATTGTAAATATCGGCTGAAATAGAGTGACTATATTTGAATCATTCAGTATTTTTGTTCGTTGCATGATAAAAATGCAAGAGGGGTAACAACAACTGTCGAGCTCAGGCAAAGCCATTACACAAGTTAAAAAATATACAAGAACGAAGTGCGCCAAAACCCCCCAGAAATACAGCTAATCACAAAAATCACTGATAGCCTATACTAAGGGCAACGACCGCTTGGCCATCGACACGAAATTTTACTCGCTCAGCCAAGGTGAGCCCGATTCACCTATTGTGATTAACAATGTTTGAGTTATATCTCATTGTGTTTCTATCTGAAGTTTTTGGATAGGGTTTCATGCACACGGTTGACCATGGTTTGAAACCGAATCTAATTAATGGCGCTGTTAGGGACGGTCAGTGAGCTCTAGTGAATTTCTCTTGACCTTGTGGATGTGGTTTTATGCTTCAGATTATACCCAAAAAATGTACCGGAAAGGTTATTCAAGCAGATTTGGAGAACATCTGGTGTTCATTCAGGTTGATTCACAATGTACATGCATTTCAGCTGATATGCCTTTTTTACCAAATAGGCCCTATATTACATTCTCGGCCATTTCTCAAAAATAAATTTTAAAGATCTGAATAGAAGTCCTGTGCAAAGGTCACTTATTGCTAAAAACAGTAAAAAGAAAATGCGATGCTTCTCAGTCCAGGAGTTTCTTCTTTTCCCAAATCCTTTATTTGTAATTGGTAATGCCATCAAATATCTTCAAAGAGGAGGGTGGGGCAGAGAGATTCTTATTTCGAATGCGATGACAGATTTTTTTTCCTTACCATATGCACAAGGTCGAAGAGTCATTGTGCGGTTTGTTTACGTCGCTTCCAGCCTAAATGACACCGGGAAAGACGGCTGGAAACGGGCCCGTCGCCAAGGAGGGGGGGGGGAACTCCCCGGCGGGAAGTTCTCCCCTCTCCATCAGTACAAAGCATAAGCATAAAAATATACTTTGTTCCTGTGATGTGCCCCCCAGCTGATACTGTGCCCTCTTTAATGCCTGAAGCTGGCGATGGGGCTAGCTTGAAGGCATATGCCAAGTTGGTCGTGAGTGTGGCATTTTTTAATATGTCTGGTCTTAAGGTGGTATGGAGAAAAGTCGTTTGGCCACGAGAAACTCTTAAATAGTTAAGGAAAAAGATACTAAAGCCAAAATTGATCGGCTCTTGTGGAGCGTTCCAAGTGCACAGAGCCCTGTGATCGCTGGGACACCTTTGCTAGGGCCATTAATTCTCCGCATGAGAGAGGAAGTAGGGATTAACGTATATTTGTCTGATAAAAATACAAGTTTTTACACTTTCGTTTGAAATAACTGACAGGTGCTTGGGACTCATGCCCGTGAGTCAACAGAGCAGCAGACTCATAAATCACAAAGAAAATGATGGCAGAGTCGAGTCCCTGCATTAGCATATTACATCGTTGTAAATCAACTTGAAATACCGCCTGCACTCTTCCAAGAATGTTAAACACATCTCGTATTTCATTGGTGATCAGGAGGATAAAAACTTGCAGCTATTTCTGTGAGATGCACAATTTAAGCTTGTTTATCAAATGCGCCAATTTTAGACCGACTTTTTAGAAATAACTTAGAATTCTTTTAAACAAAAGCTCGGATTTGGAACCATGCCAAATATACAGGCCTATTTCTATGCTGTAGCGGGTGCCTACGAGAATCAGCTTCAGGAATGGCATTTACTTGGAAGAAACGAACGATGTTATTTGCAGAAATACTTCATTTTTGAAGTTCAATTCACACTTTTAAAAAAAATGAAAGAGACAATTGCCCAACTCCACTATTTTGGCCTGGAGAGTTAATTGATTTCCTTTGCAACTCCTTCATAAATATTCAGTTTTTCTTTTAACCTCAAAAAGGTTTTGTTGGAGTTGGGCCCTTCTTTTAATTAGGTATTCAATTGCAGAAGCTGATTTACACGTTTCGGGACGTCTCTCAGACGACTGGTTTTAGTCGGTCAAAAGGTTACAAAAACATCGTGCAATCTCTTCGTGAAATCCAGTAAGGGCACAGGTGGTACGGTTTTAATTTTAATTTACATATATACATTGGGAAAAGGCTCAAAATCTCAATATCTCCAATGGGCCTCAGTATGGGTTATCTCGACATACATGACTGAACTAAAATCGAACAACGACGTGTGATGGAAATTGTAGGCCACGGTTTGCTACAGTTGCCAGGTTTATTCTCGTGAAAGAAGACTATACATACAAAACAGATGCTCACGGAAATTTCCTATGTAAATGAGTTCGGAATTCCAGCAATTAAAGCATTGTGTTTAAGACTGTAGTAACAACAATCTTTTTGCTTTAAAGTTTTCAAAACAAATCACTGAAAGGGTCAATACGATTAAACAATACAGAACATACTAATACTATGAAAATCCGTGACAAAAAAGGAATCCATCTCTAACAAGATCCCAAATTTTAAGGCAATATTACAGAATACAAAAACTAATCAGGTAAATTTTGGGTAAGAACATAGAATATCGCTATTAAGGTTAATGATCGAAGGAAGGTAGATATAGCAGTGGTCTCGGGTTATACTTTCAAATAGCGAGTGCAAAGTGTAAAAGGTCTTTCGAACCCGAGACAACAAGTGCAGACTGTGGGGGTTCGAGCGAAATTGGCTACTTTACGAATCCAGGAAGATGAATACTTTGCCACTTACACTACAAGACGCAAACATACCTCCAGGCCTCTGCCCAGACTGTGGATTGTGCATTGCTTCCAAAATATCTCAGTGGCTCAGCTTTGATCATCCTGGAATCGCTCTCTACTTTTCAATTAAAGACAGGAAGAAAAAATGCACATGCGTACTTTCGTTGTTGTCCCGGATGATCTTGTGCACCTGGGCTGCTGCTGACGACACCTGATCCGTGTCCGTCACGTCCATCTGCAGCACAAGGAGCCGGTCGGAGCACCGCCCACGCAACTCCGCCGCCCCCTCCCCGTCCGCGTACAGGCAACCGGCGAATACTCGGAAGCCCAGCTTGTCCAGGTACCGGGCCAGAGCGTTACCGATGCCGGTGTCGCAACCGGTCACCAGCACGGCCTTGCCGGCCGATCCCAGGCGCTTCTCGGGGGGACCGAACCAGGTGAACAAGAGGAGGCCCACCGCCGGCACGGCCGCTATGAGCCTGACCCCTAGCGAGCACGGCAGCACGTACACGACGAACAGGAAGACGATTAAAGCCGGGCCCTTCATACTTGCAACTACTACAGGTGTGCAAAGTCGGACTAAGTGACGCGTGGTCCACTGCAACAGGACTGACTGTTTGACAGATGCCGGTAACTCTTTATATATAGACCTCCTGGTTGTGTACAGGTGGGCAGTACACTCCGTACCTCATATCCTGAGGTCAAGCGAGGACACGGTGCTACGATTGGGCAGACCGCCGCGACGATCATTATACAAACGCCCCTCAGAGGCGCACAACAAAAAAGTCACAGCCTTTTCAATCGAAGCGCATCTATCGATATAATTTTTTCCCCCAAAAAGGGATGAAGAGTTGAAATGAGGACAAACTATTGAGGGGAGGGGGAAAACCCAGTTGGGTTATGACAGAGAGAAGAAAAACCGGCACAGAAAGCAAAAGGAAAATGTGTCAAGCTTTTGTTGCTCTTTTTTTGGTTCTCGTCGACGTGTGAGTGACACTGCGGTCGGCAAAAGGGCCTGCCGTATTGTTTGAGGCAGTCACGCACGCGCGCTCCATTAACGGCATTGTGCCGATCACCGTGGGAGGGAGCATGGAACTGGCCATGACAAAAATGCTTTTAATAGGGTCAGAGACAAAAAAACCCAGGTTGGCTGGGATACCGAGGAGGTTAGAACTCCCCGTGATGGCATTGGAACTGGCTTTGACCTCTTACAGGGAGGGTTGGTCGACCTCTCAGACACTAACCCCCTAGCCGACTGACGTCAGACGGACAAGAGCACCCCTGGGAATTACAGGCATCCAGAGTTGAGATAATCCATCCCAGGGCCCATTAATTTGATTAATCCTATCACTTTGCCTATATACATACGCTCAGAAATGGGCTGGCAGGCGTGCGCCGGTGTTTACCGGTATCCATACATGTACATCCCGGCAGATAAAAACAGGGAACGACACCCGAGTTCACTGGTAATTATTAACAGGTATAGAGTCTGTAACGTGTTTTCGCCTGTAATAAAAACAGTCGACCGTAACCATGCATGGTGTGTCGATTGCAAGACTGACAATGTTTATAAAAACATGGGCCAGATCAGAATGAGAAAAGGCTGGTTTGTGTGGGAAATTCAAAACGGCCGCTCGACGGGAAAATGGACCAATATTGAGTAGAGCAGATTGGATGCATCAAGGTTGAATACTTGTCCCCTGAACTGCTGTCTTGAAAGTTCCTATGTCGTGAACGATTCTCGGAGAGTTGCATGCTAAGAGTGATGTCATCTTGAATGATCTTCCAGATTATCGTAGTTATCGCGATTCACGTTGTTTGTCCTTGTCCTTGTGTGTACATCAACTTATCGAAGGCGTAGATTCAAGGCATGGTAATGAAATTTTCTTTTCTTTCTTTTCTTTTTTTTGGGGGGGGTTTAAAAAAAGATGATAGTAGATAAGATTGTGTTTAATTTGATCGAATATGGCTGGAAGTACATGTAACACGTAGAAACACGGGAGTCACTGGTCATAGGCTGTATCCGCCTTGAGCAGAGAGCAGCAGCCCCTCATCGGTTGAACAGAGCCAGGTTGGTCGGGAGTTGGACAATCCCCATCCCTATTATTTAGGGAGGGACCGGTAGCTAGCTGCGCATGCGGTAACGTGTGCGATTAGCCCTGCTAATTTTGAAAAGTTTTTGTCACGCCAATGGCTATGCTGTAGTAAGAAACACATTTCAGTATGAACGCGGGAAAAAGAAAAAAATCCTTGCTAAGCCTCTGTTGATCACACTGTGCTAATGTTTTTTCAATGATTAACATCAATAAACGATTTTGAGGTAATTTTTTTTCAAATCAGTGGTTATTGTATTAAATTATAGATAACTAAACAATTTATGGTGAAGTTATTTTCGGGTAACGAAGAAGAAAAAAGCAAAATATGCTATCGGCTCCTGCTTAATTTGTGCACTGAGCATGCAGGCATCGTTTCCTCATTTACATACACCCGGCAGAAGTTTGCCGGATTCATTACCCGCTACCGGTCCCTACGTTCGAAGGACGTCTGCAGGACGTCTGGAGACTATGCATTGGACAGGAACCAGCCTAGTCGGTAGTGTTCATTTTGCTGGTAGCGATGCGACTGTACCGCGTGCATTTCATGATCGTTCGTGAACCAGTGAAGTGCGTTTCCGACAGACCAAAGGAGCTTCCGTTGCTTGGAATATTGCGCCCTCTCTCGGTCCAGCTCGGTGCGCATACATTTCCGTAGACTTATGAACTGCACGCGAGCCGAAGCTGAGTAAGGTAACTGAGACGGGACCCTGTGGTCAGAAAGCAGGTGGAGGTAGATGTGAGCTAACACTAAGGTCGCATTAGACGATTTTCAGTCGCGTGATTTTTGACGGTAAGCGTTCAATTAAAGGCGCCTTTCCATATGTACGTTTTCTGGGTGCGTTGCGCACACGATACGTTCACGCGTTTCACTCTCGTGGACACAAATATCGACTTAATCAACATAACACACATGTGCGTTGCGTCAGCCGTCAAAATCGCCCCGGGAGCGATTTTGACGGATACGCAGCGCTTGGCGTAAGTGCGGACGTGCAAATGGAAAGGCGCCTTTATATACATGTGGGCGGAAACGCGTGCACCTCTGAAGTCTCTCAACATTTTTGCATGCGTACATGAAATACGGGCGTTGCACAATAAGAGTTTGCAACGCCTTGGCCAATCACAATGCGCGAAATCTGTCGACCCAATGCGCCCTTGGAAAGTGGTCGACAGATTTTGGGCATTGTGATTGGCCAATGCGTTGCAAAGTCTTGGAGGCGCACTGTTGTGAATCGCCCGTATTGCCGGTGGAAACACCAAGCACCTCCACAGACATGACCCGCTTCCTGAAATGCCTTAATTTTGCCAGTCATGTTACATCAAGAGGCAATCCCCAGTACACAAATTACTTTTACCCGTGCGCAATTAGCCGCATTTTAGCCCCCTTTATAATTTTACTGGCATTCTTTTCAGCCAGCATTCCTGGCTTCTTTCGTTTCCCTCTCTTTTCTATATTTTCTTTCTTAACAACAAATCCGAGGATGGGGATATATCCCCCACTCCCCACGATAGACCCCCTGCTTGTCGTTATTGGCGTTTCGTTTCTGATAGAAGCATTCCTTCTCCACAATAGCCCAATTTCGAACCTTTAAAGCACCAGCATTCCAATCGGTGATGTCATAAATCCCACATAACCATTGCTGTAGCGATGGTTACATTCGTCATCACTAACGACCATGGCCTACCTTTTCTTTGTCTCACGTGAAGTTGTAAAGTAGAACGGAAGCCCATCTTTGATCGGTGTATCGTGCCCTATATTCACTATTGACGAAAAAAAAATTATTTGAACATACATTTTAAATATTTAGACTTATCTTCAATCGGGGCTTTACCCTTAGAATAATATTTACAACAGTTTGGCCGGTTCAGGGTACATTGCCGTGGACTAGAGCCCCATAAATAATGTAACTGTTCCGTAATCTACGTGACCCGTTTTGTAGTCCGTGCAGTCACCCGTTCTTTCGAAGTATGTCATGTCAGGAGAACAGATCAACACATCGAGTGTTCATGTTGACTTAAACTGTGCAGCATCTTCATGCAGGTCGTTGCCTTTTTCGTAGGAGTTCGAAATCAGACCATGGAACACAAAAGTGCAAGGGGGGCACTGGCTTAGCAGCAGCAGGGACGCATGCGATATCCCAGAGTTCATTGAACGGTATTTTTTTTTTGTTTAATCGCTGTAGCCCGGTTACAGGCGCAGTATGTAAACTTCGAAGGCTACTTTCTTCATAATGTGAGTTCGGTTTGATTTATGAGTTGGAAGCGTGATTGCCCGACACGCCACCGCCCATTCAAACCCCAACCGGCTTGACACTAACCCTGGTTCGAGGCTCGTAACTGCATTTGCATTACCTTTTCACTGCTTTAGGGGATAGCTTTTTTGAAATCAGCCTGCACATGACAAGTGTTCATTAAACTTTGATCGTTTTCGGACCTTCAAAAAAGTTAAAGAATTTAGAATGCAGTAATTATTATGGGCCCCCAGCTGGACCAAGAGAGGGCGCAATTTTCTTAGCAACGGAGGCTCCTTTTGTAGTGAAAACGCATCGTTGGTTCACGAACAACTACTAAACGCAAACGTTGCAACCCGCTCCGAGCATGAACAAAAGAGGGCGTGTTTTGAAATGAAATCGACAATCCTTTGGTATACATTTACCGCATAGGCGCGCAAGTTTATGCACGTTTACGCGGAGCACGCTGAGTACGCGCAACGGAGTTTAGTCGTATATTTCTTGAGTGCACGCCCAACGCGTGCAAGAACCCGTTTGGAAAACTTATTAGTACCATCTGTCTTTATTTTGCCGGTGAGGGTGCACTTCAGCTCAGGGTGGTATATAGCATCGATATCGCTGCTGACAAAATTTACACCCTGACCAGCATGGCTCTTTTCAACTGATGATTGCGTTGAGATAAATTGACAGCACATGGACATCAGCACATCAAACACAGCACATAGACATCAGCTACACCGAGATTGAGGTAAACGATGATAGGCCTACCACCAGAAATGCCGAAACGCGAGTGAATGGCCTTTCTATCTTGTTCATTAACAAGGCTTTACAGCATGTACATGTACATTTTAAAGCTTTCTACGGTGAACGTAGCACGTTAGGTAAAGAGGTTTGCGGTAGTACTACGCAAGGATATCTAAAGTTTCTTGAGTGGTTCTGAAAAGAACCGGAGGGTACGCAACGTTTTGGACAGTCCGTCGTGAGTAAAACCAGCAAGAAAAACCAATACATATACCTTTCCTAGCTAATACGGCACTGTCTACAGGCCTCCACCACCTTTCTCGAGACGGCCCGGCCAAAATAAATTCCGTTAAAAGCAAAATGACCAAGTTGACCGGGACAGAATGCTGTTGGACCACTCTTCAAATATTAAGCGCAGACAGGTGTGGATTAAGCAGATTTTTTTAAGTGGATAAGGGAAGTCCTTGAGCTGTGCATTGGTATAGTTTATCGTTTCCACAGAATGTGCCTTTTTTTATTCGTCTCGTGAAAGATGGGGCCTTGTCAAGCTTGCAAGGTAATGCCTTTGCAAGAAACACGCAGGGGGTGCAATAACCGCGGGTTGCTAGGTAGGGGGCCATGGCTGCTTCAACAAGTCCTTCGTCTCGTCAAACTCTAACGTCAAATCGCCGTTTATGTAATCAATTTTCTGATCATGAGCCCCAATATGATTCATGGGTGGGCTGTTCTAGCTGACAAACAAACAAACAAACAAACGAATGACCCCTTGAGAGTGACGAGCGAACCGTGCATGCATGCCGTGCGATGGGGGATTGGAAGGGACAGGTCAAGAGCAGGGACGTGCATTTTGTGTGCTTCCACGTTAATATTCAAGGTGGTTCGTTCCATTCTACATAAAACGGCACGGGGCAGTCATGCAGCGCCCTTTTTAAAAAACTTTTTTAATCTGACGTAGACCTAAATTGTACATGGCACGTAAGCAGCAGACTCAACAACCCTTGTCATTCAAAGTCCCATACAACCCACTGAAAAGTGAAATAGTGCAAAGTGCAGCCGACTCTGCTGAATGGTTTTGTATAGAATCTTACATCGCAGTGCTCTGTCTGGCTAAATATAGCTTAGTGATTTTGGGGGCGTAGGGATAAAGTCCGCCCCAACATGTTTGGTGCAAGGAGCACCAGGGCAATGCTCCACGATCAATTTGTTCTTAGCATTGTACACTTTTATGGACAGCATAAGTTCTAGCTTTCCCAAGAAAGAAAGGAAACCGTCCCAAATTAGCTTTGCATGGTCCCAAAATGTCTCGACGAACGTCGTTTACCGACGTCAAAGGTAGCAATCAGAACAATGATATGGAAGGCTATCATGCGCACCCATAGACACCAGATCAATGATAGGGACGACGAGGAAGGTCCGTAACCCCACATTGACCGGGATCGAGGTACCATGCCTCCGTCACACTGGACGTCAACAGATCTCATGTTTGTTCGTAATACATGTATTCGCCAGGGAACCGACCGTTTTCATTTTATCCCCACATTTCAAGTTTCCTACTATAAGCCGTTTGCACGCTGTAGATACCACTACCCTGAGTAGAGAAATTTCATTTGTGTTACTGCCTGCGTAATACCAGAACCAAGCACAATTCTGTGTGACTTTCACGGGGCATAATTGGCGGGGAAATCAAGGTTGTCTTAATTTCGCACGCATTTTGTCCGGGCGGAAAACTGAGATTGAGGTGAACTTTTCAATTTACTTAGAGGGGGTAATCCGTACAATCTTAATCACTTTTGCGTACAGAAAATGAATGAATGACAATTATTGTCCACGCGTACAGCGGTACAACGTCCAAATCAGAGGCGGTGCCGGCGTAAAGCATCCTCAATTCTTCAACCTTAAGTTCAGTCTAACATATACATGTACCCAAATGCGATGATTCCATTGGCTTTGAACGTACGCATAAACTGGTGCTCTCCCACCAAGCATCACTGTCATCTACACTGTTAACAACAGAAAAGTTAATTTCTTCTCTCCGGAATCCTGTTTCATGAACACTGGAGTGTCAGAACTTCAGAAATGGCTTCAATGTTGAAGCAACTCGGCACATCAAGAGCACGTAAAAAGGGATCGAGATGTTTCATGTCACAGAAACATGCTTGTAGAAATACAGTGGCACTGGAGCACGGTGACTTTGAACGGACCTCAATATCCAGATCACTGGAAATACAATGCGCAAGGCGATCAGCTCTTGTGGCCCCTGGCGCATGCCCACAGGCATTCGCCCCAATACCTACAAATCCAGCAACAATACCGGCTCAATCATCGGAACTAACAGCGTTCCAGCAATTTTTTTTTGCTTTGTTTTCAACTGACGGAAATTGTTGACAACGATGACTTGCGCACGTGAACTCGGTCGGCTTTGTTGCGGGCACGTCTTTTTCGGCCCACTAGAAAATACAACATGCCATGTGATACCGTGGGACGGGAAAAAGGGTATTTTTTTTTCAGGGAAAACGATCTCGTAATTTATACATAAATCTGTTGACGATGATGGAAAGAAACGTCGCACTTGGCGGCAGTGTTGGACGTAATGAAAAAGACTACCTCATCCCTGGCAATCAAATCTAGTCCCAGACATGGCTTTGTCACATTGGGCAGCAAATTAAAACGGTCAATTAGTCCCATTTTACGATTAACAAGCGCCAGGGTAAAGAGTATAGCCGTGGGATATTCATTGCAAAAACACGAACTTGCTCAGTGCTGCTGAAGTGAATCCTTCAATATAAGAACGTCCAGGATGACATCGCCCCTTTAATAGACTTTTCTATGCCCCAATAGGAAGACCGCCTGGGGCGACGTGTGCACTGACCGAAATAGAAAGAATAGCTTCCGACATCAAAGGGGCCGGCGCGGCCCGAACACACACCGAACTAACCCAGATCATCCTTTCAATAGAAGAGGGGGAAAACAGAAAGAGCAAAATTGCTTTGGGATCGAAGATACACCTAGTGCACAAACCTTCATGGTTCAGAGAGTGCAGAAAAAGGTACACGTATGCGAAGGCATGTTCTCGGGTTCCTGGGAACCGTTCCCACAAGAGTGCCAGGTGAGCCCAACTAGACCGAGTTGTGGGTGCACTCGTTTGGGGCTACCTGCGGTTGCGACTGGTTCAACGACAGGAACACTGACGGAGAGCATCTTTACCAATAGCCACAGTGTGATATCTCTACACACAACCGATTCTTATGTTCAATTAAAACGCATGCGAAGTATCATTAGCCGAATTATGTAAGCGTTTCTCGCGCATTTGCCTCAAAATTAAAACAAAACAAGTGTATGCAACATCGAACAAGCCTATAACAATGAAACTCAAGACACGGAAGTGTAATTCCAAAAGAATGGGATTCTATTTCAGTCCCTTGTAATGGGAACTAGATGATTTGTCAAAGCGCTCCAACATTAAATCCGTAGAATTTGAAAGAGAAATCTAGGGAGTGGACATTCATGAGGAAACACGATCAATGCCATTGGAACAAATTTTATTGTAATTAATTTGAGCTACAACACAACAGATATCATGTTAAAGAACCGTTTTTATCAAATCATTATTTATGTGTTTATACCTTCACAATGTCAGCATTTTCACCAAAATACTCTACGATCTGCTTATTTCTTTGTTGAAACCAAGTCTTAATAAAACTGCAATATAAAATAAAATGTCTGATGATAAACCAACCACACCATGCTTGCTGCCAGGCCAAAACGAATAATCAACTTTTGGCCACATCTCAGGACACTACAAGACTTTCAGGAAGACACCGTGACCATTACATGTCAATAAAACCCCTTCTTTGACTATGCAAACTCTTACAATTATCCATTAAATTGATCTGATAACAATAGTTTTTTATTTCATGGAATAGAGATATCCCATTTACTTTGGCATAAATGATTTTTTACCAATTTCTCGGCGTGTTATCGGTTCTCTTTGCTACACATAATGATGGTAGTTCGGATACTCAGTCAAAAAAAGTTTCCCTCAGGTCTGACTAAAATTGCCGAAATACTGTACTTCACTGTAGTTAATTCTGGTGTTTTTTTTTGGAATAACTGTCGGATTTGCGGCTGGTACAAGAAGCTTATTTCCGTTAAGAGGGCAATCCACTTACTAGTATTTAAACAATTCCACATGCAAGCATCAAGAACTTGAATGGACACCGTAAATTACTTACACATTGCCCAAATAAAAGAGAAATGCCCTCACTTTTACACGTTTGATACAAAGAAATATTTGCAGAAACCTCTTTCAGTGTGAATTTCATTTTATGACCAATTTAAGCTATATCGGCACAAACTGCCATCCCACACAGCACTACAATCATTCAGGAATATAGTACAGCTGTAACTTACAATTAGTATAAAGTACCGTGTATGTGTAAGACTCTGCTATTGGGCTGTGTAAAACTGCATTGTTGTATGCATTGAAATGGCATACCAATTCAACTTGGCACACTGTGACATTACAGAAATAGAGTACATCAATTTGAAGGATACATTTCTGCAGCTGCACGAAGATGGCATAATAACACAGTGATTATTCTTGTGATTACAGACAGACATTGTACATATGCATTAGTATACATGTAGGCCCATTTTCAATTACATTTATATCCTAAGGTTCATTACACATGGCAGAGTTAAGATACACGTGTAGGCTACACACAGTGTAGAACACATGGCATCCAGACCCACAGAAGTCTAAAGTCCCAATTCAGTGACTTTTCTAGGACAAAAATATGACAATTCCCTCAACCTTTCATGCCATTTTACAGAGAAAACTTGTTTGGTGTTATGAACTAGAAGACTGCCGTAGCCCCCACAACAGACTGACAAGGACATAGCCTGTACATTTATCATTATCCCGTTACCACATACCCATCTCAAGCAGCCAAGAAAAACTTGAAGTGAGCAGAGGGGGAGGCCTGCGCTTAGCATCTCGGGGGGAGGGGGGTTAAAAAGGATTAGGGTATCGGATCAGCTCGTATCCCCCATACCGTAAGTGCAGGCTGGATGACTTTCGTGTGATGTTTTGCACTAGATTTGAATATTTTTAATGTATAGATTTTAACAGTTGAACCTCAAGAGGGCGCCAAAACAGTCCATCAGAGTCTTGTTCAAGTAGAGGGTGGCCAATTGTTTTTGTTGAGATAAACTGAGCGGCCAGTACACAACAATGCCACTTTTGCAAATTTTAAATTTTTCAGACATTTTTCCATACCAGTACACCTATCTTCGTATATGACTATGATTCCTTACCATTTTGGCTAAATAAATAGCTTTTGAATGCTCTAGCATACACTACAACTGGGTAACACCATGCACAATATTGTTCTGTTGAGGCAGCCAAAGACTTGTCTCAACAGGGCATCCGGACCACTAAGCAATCAAAGAGATGGTCAGCTTAGCTTCACTGTTCAAACTCGCTAACCCATTAAAATGCCGAGCAGCGTTGAAGTCCATATCACGGCATGTCAGTCAGAGCTCAAATCACAAGCTGATCACAACTCAGACTGCAAGTCTGATGGAGAAGCAAGTAACTGGCTGACAGACAAGTGAATGCCTTAACTGCAGTCGATCAAAACAGCTTGTGATGTAACGTGAGACCGGATGAGACCCATGGCTGGCTTGACTATCATTACAATAGACCAGCTAAGCCTTTTCACACAGGACAAACCTCAGGGTTGATGCAGGGTTGCAAACTGGCGACAATTCACACTTGAAAATTTCAACCCTGCACCAACCCTGAGACTGACTTCAACCTGGGTTGAACTCAACCCAGGTCTGGACCAGGGTTGAGGTTTTCAACCTTGGTTGAAACTTGTCATTGCTCACTTTCAGGTTGAACTCACCCCCCATAAGCTAAGTTTGCATGACACAAGTGTGAAGCAATGCTGGGTTGAATGTGAGGTTGAAAAATCTCATTTTTAACCCAGGGCGGACGTGGGTTCACCCAGGGTTGAGTTCAGCCCTGGTTGAGAGGCTGCAGCGTGAAAAGGCCTCCTGTTCTGTCTTATATGTACATGTAGATTTGTATGTAATGTGTCACACAATTATCTGCAATGAACATTTAGTTCATTCTTGTACTCATTCTTTGGTTCCCAAAATAAAAAATAACCCGGCCTTCAATTCATTATGGCCAACTTGTGAACCAGGTTAATTCTGAGTAGTAAGCATATTTTGTATCTCATAGCACACCTATTTACATATGTATTTCAGCAATGACATTAGGGCTACGTGTATCCTCCAATGCAGTCTTAAAAATCTGATGCAAAGTCACTAAAATCATGACAACTGCCTTGAAGAAAAACATGTTACATTTTTTTTATCAATTTAAGTCTTCTTCCATAAAAATATGTTAGTTAAAAAGGTATTTATTACATGCATCAAAGTAAATTATTTCAATACACGATTTTTTACATTAACTTCTAACTTTCAAAAATTTGCATTGATTTGAGCTTATCCTTGCATTTGCTGTGCATTCAACTCATACACTGTATATGCTAAAAAACAACTGCATGCTTGAAATTTCCTGAGAAGCCAAACCAAAAGCCCTGATAAAACTCAAATAAAAATATAGCCTTGAATAGATAAAGCTGTGTTACCAGTCACTATCCCTACAAACTAATCACACTACAGCAAAATCCAAACCCTAAAAATCGCACCCTAATGAGAAAGCTACATAAAAAGGAAAGAAAATAATAAATGTGATAAAGCACACTGTGCCTCCCTTGTCCAGGAAAAAACTGTTTTCTTGACTCACATTGGGACTAACATGACCCTTTTTTTTCAGGCATGACACTGGCTAACTGTATGATCACTCTCCAGAAATTTTAACAGGGTTTAGACAGAAATATGAAAGCCCAAAATCTAGGAAGGACAATTTCCAAGTGCGAATGGGAAATACTTCAAACCCTGCATATGGAAGACAGATGTATTGCATTGTAAGTGCGTAAGTCACCTGGATAGCCTCCTGCCTGTTGCTGCAACTTCAGCACTGCTTCATGAAGTTCCTGATGAAACAAGAAAAAAAATAACTTCCTTGTAACTGTGCATTTTTATATGGCACATAAATATCTTTCCTTAAATTCCAGGTAAAGAGGGGCCAATTTTATAGAGCTGCATAAGCACAAAATATTGCTTAAGCGCGAAAAACCTTGCTTGATAAATCAGGTAACAGCCAAAACTCCATGTGATGTATATTGTTTTGGAGTGGTATTTAGCGGTCTTTTGGTTAGCATGACAATCAGATAGAGTTTGAGCTGGTAACCTTCGTTTTTTTAAGCAAGGTTTTTTCACACTTAAGCAAATTTTGTGCTTAGGCAGCTCTATGAAAATGGCCCCTGATCAAGTACTGGAGAAGTTTACTTGATTTCTATGGCCCTAACTCAATCCACAGTACAGTGATCTGCCTTACCGTCACCCTCACACATACTAAGGAATTGCGTGAGGGACCTTTGTCATACTAAAGTGCCCTGTTTGGGTCGTTCAGGACTACAAGAAATGCTATCTGCTCCGAGCAAGATCAAAAGAGGGCATGTTTGGAAGTGATATTGAGTGTCGTTTGGTAAGCACTCACCACACAGACGCACAAGTTTATACATGTTTGATGCGGAGCACGCTGAGTACGTGCAACGAATTTAGTCTGGAATATATGGTCTTTGTGTGCACGCCGAACGCGTGCAAGAACCTGGTTGGAAAACGTAGTACCATCTGTGTTTCTTTTGCCGGTGAGGGTGCATTTCAGCTCAGGGTGGACAGAGACTTGTTGAAGAAGGCGTGTACATTTCACTGTATGAAGGGGACTCGTGGAGTTAATATAGGCCTGCTTTCATTAGAGTTGGAATTATTCAAAATAACATTAGATATATTCAAATGTTATTTATGCTATATATACTTATAAAACACAACTCAGAAAATGTCTACATGCATTGACATCACTGAAGGATATTAAGGCCTGCTCTTCCAGTGTATAGTGTTACATCATTCAAATGGTTGTAAGTACCTTTGCTCCACCAATAAAGCTATAATGCATCCATCTAAAATTGGAACTTTGATGTGTACAAACAATGACGTGCACTGAGTGGAGGATATATTTTCCAAACAATGACGTGCACTGAGTAGAGGATATATTTTCCAGAACCAGTGGTCACGTGCCCATAATAAATATTTCTTAATGATAAAATAATCTCAGCTCTTACCGGTACCTTGATGCTGTGATTTCAAAGAGTGAATGTCTAAATTAATCCCAATAATCACCTCTACCCTCACAGACACCGATTTACGTCAGAATGGGCACAAACATATTGGTAACATGTCTTGCTCAATCTTCCAGTCTGGACTCAGACCCATATTCATGCAGGGTCAACATATAACCACTTGGATTCCAGACCACGATAGATCTCTTTCCAACTTCCAGCGCAGACAGTGGACAGAGATATAGGGTTAACCACTGAAGGGGACTGGCAAAGCTAACCTGATAACCGTGGGCAAGTCCGGGGAGTCCACAATGTGCCGGTGTCCAAAGCCGTCGTACCCAAAGGACTGGAAAGTCACCATGGGTAGGGACTTGTCACGATGCTCAACACTGTAGTCATAGAGCTGAGAAAAAGACCAAACCAGACTTCATTATTTCTACCATGCACTTTAGATAATGTTCAGCCTTCTTGACAAAGTCTCTTATTGGCTTACTCCTTTTGAGATTGGCACTGCCGCCATGTTTGGTTTGAACACAGCTGCTTGTCCTTTCCTGTCTCACGTAAGCTTACACTTGCATTTCTGTGGTATATTTCCCTTGTTCTTGTATACTACAAAATGAGCCTGTGTAGCGCAGTTTCCAAATCACTCTTATTTCAACCAAATATCACTTATGTAAAATAATTCATTACACGACAGATAAGTACACCTCCGAAATTCCTCCTTTTAGGTAAATTCCGAATATCAATTTCGTGAAATTCTTGTGGGGTACCAATTTTAGTACCCTACAAGGGCAGTGCGTGTTCCCTGTGGGGTACTTCCTATTGTTCTAATACCCCACAAGGCACCATAAGACACACGCACAAACTTACACTGGCAGTATTGTACACGGCTGCGTGACGATATTTAGATCAGTGACTGTGAAGTATGAGGTTCATAGCGTCAATAAAAATCAGAATCAAATTTTCAAGGGAGACTGGAAAAATCTGTAGTTTTATAAGCCATTTAAAACCACCCATGTGACGAGTTCTTGAGGAATATTTATATCCATGTGCATATTGTTAAACTTGAGGCACCTGTACATTTAAGCAAATCACAGAAAGTAAGAGCTTCTACTTCTACGTCAAATTAACATTAACATATTCAATAACTAAGTGTACAGACGAAGACCTCCGATACTCTAGATAAGCCCATAACAACTACTGATAATGTATTCATGAATTTAATTATTTCATTGTGTGGTTCAGAGAATTCAGCAAAGTTCCCACGCAAAACTGTCAAATGTCTCTGAGATTGAGCAAACCAAGACAACCTGTCCTGCAACGAAAAGAGGGATCTTGAGTCCCCGTCTCTGGTCCTACAAGGAAACACACAGACATGACACTCACTCTCTTGCCCAACTTGAAAGGGACGACAAAGTCATCTTCTGCATGGATGATGAGAATTGGGCAGCTGACTTCCAGGAGGCTAAACACAACAAAAAGCAATGAAAATTCAGAATTCTGGGACAAAACTGCAAACTGGGCACTGAGCACCCACTTACGTATGCAGTGGAGGTGTGCGATCATTATCACAATTCAGAAGCGTAAGTATCTGCACGACACCAGCTACACATGTACATGTATTGATTTCACAAAACTTCACACAAATGGCCTGAACTCCCCTTGCTGCACATTTATATTGCATAAAGTGTGCGACAAGCTATAGCCAATTTGCCCAAGCCTGTGTCCTGTGCAATAATTCCTCACATGAATTACGCAACCTATTTTTAGGAAACAGCACTGATTTGGCAAACAAAACAAAAAGGAACAATATTACTGACTACGAAACATCTAACTGTAATAATATCATGAACGTCCTCACTGCTAAACTCAACAATATCTGCAGCAGGACATGTATGGTTTATTTTGGAATTCATTAGATAGACCCATAAAACACTTTCAACGACAGTTTCAACGAGTGTGCGCAAGTGCACTGTGGCAATAAATAGCCACAGTGCCAGCCAGTGGACGATGGGGTTAAATGGTAAACATTTCCCCAACTCTGTTTAGTACGCGTGCACAAGTCTATGAAGAGAGACCCTGTTTTCAACTTAAACCTGGCTGCAGTAAGTGGCCTGTGGCAGTAGGCAAATATCACTCAGTGGGAGGGTGTTGCAGAGTTACAGAAGATAAAGTTTCTGTGTGTTGCTTCACCCAGACGTCATGAAAAAAATACAACTGTCAAAGGTCAACATTACCGATGAGTAGGGGCCAGAGACAGTCTTTGGCAGCTGGGCATGATGAGTTGTAAAAAAAAAATCCCACCTGTGACCTAATTGGTAATGTTCCAGACAAGGGAAGGTTCTTACTTCTCCTGAGTGTTGAACATTGCCTCCTCTTGCTCGTAGGCCTTACTGACCATTGCCAAGAACCCTGGTAGGACCCACCATGGCTGTAGGGATAAACGTTGAAAGACTTGTTGGTTTAATAGTGTGCAACATGCTTAAATTTGAACCCTACCTAAGATCTAGCAGATTGAATTCCCAATTGACACGAAAGTTAGAATAACTTATTACCAACATGTCTATGGATAATTAAGAGATACCAAGTTTAATATTTTGATTATACAGTATGCATATTCATTAGTGATGTATATATAATTTATGCATATTTGAAATAAAACAATACTCCCCGACTTGAAATAAAACACATGTAAATAAGGTATCCAGTGTTTACTTTGCTTTTCTTTGTTTACATCTGCATATCTCATGCAGAAAATTTGCATATATTATAATCAGACATTATGTATATGCCTTATGTTTTTCATATTTTCCATTCCTTGGTATGTTTTGTTCAAAGGTTTCATGTATTGTTTGCTCTGGCATGATCATTAGATATGACATTCTTCACAAGGAGAAGGAAACAGACAACTAGATAGAAAAAAAGAATGCATTTCAATAAGTTTGCAGGACACATCCGTGTATACACACGGAAAAAGTCTTTACTGCCACGTAACATCAACACGCTTTGTCTGCTTTTTTGCAAATTTGGTATCAAAACTTGCGTGGGACTTGAGAAAGTCTTGAAAGGAGAAATTGATATTTGCAGTGGTTTGAGAGTAGCAGCGAAATTCCCCCCCCCACCAGTCTGTACAGGGTTCAAGACTGCTTACCATGGTGAAGGGGTGGTTGATCATGGCATCATGCATGCTGTTGTAGGGAGACTCTAAGATTACACCGTGTGGGCACAAGCCTGCAAGATGACGTATGGTACCAAGTTACATGAATGATATCTGAAGAAAAGCAAATCACTACATGTACATGGATCTCCACATAAAGATTACGATTCAAGAACATAAGCAAGAATGCTTATCCTTCAAGTCAATACAACTACATAAAGGAGACATTACAGCAGGGGTACCACGCTCACGTTTGTCATTATGAATTCTTAAGCTTGAGGCATGAATGCGATTTTATTCAGTCAAAACTCAAAATAAAAGTCATAACCCACTCCTTTTTCAAAAAGTGGAAGCACGGTTTCACATAGCAGTCGTCCCTTAATGTGACATCTGTCTCTGTGTGGACAGAGTCACTTAAAATACACGTACAGTGTATGTGTGTAAGCACAGTGTATGAGCCCCGAACTGGACCAAGAGAAGGTGCAATTTTTATAAATTTTTATAAACTCCTCTCAAATGCAAGTAATAAACTGTATCTACCATACTGACCTTTTAAGAAACTATCAAACTTCATCACAACATACATATATGTTTATTTCAATCAAAATATTAAAGATTCTTTTATAAAGTTTTTATTTCCTTGCTCCAAGCATGAAGCTTTCACTACTTTCAGCATGAAGATTGCAAGAGGGTCCTTTCTCTTGTTCCAATCCAAAAATCGGAACATAATGGAATGCAACTACACAATATACACTAGCAACTGCAAAACTTGACATTTAGAAGGCAATGGAATCAAGGATTGTTTCCTTCATACCTGATTTGCACAGTCTTTTCACCATTGCACTTCCAATCCTGAGGATAAAGATCACAATCATTTTTAAAAGGGGTCACCTTAAAGCTCCATGTACACCCTAATGCATGGAGGGACGCAATGTACATAGGCCATTTGCCTATCAGTGAACAACGTGTGTTGAACGCACTCTGTGTGTACCCAATAGATGGATTTCACATTAGCGCCGTCTGCGCATATCCGCATCGAAACCGAGGCTCTCTGTGTTGAACTTGCTCGCGCGCGCCCGCGGAGTCGACATAGTACATGCAGTATCCGGTTCGTAAGTGTGATACCACTTCAGTTTAAACCACGCCCACTGCACAAGATACACACCCATCGCAGGTACGTTAGTTCGCGGTAAATTGCCATTTTTTTTCTTTTGATTTCACGTGTCGAGTCATTGTGAAAGACTCTGCAACAAAAATCTGCAGCCTGAAAAATCTGAATTTAACATACCTTTATGTATTTTGTATCTTGACTTTTTACTTTCAATCGTCTGATCGTATTAGGAATTAAAGCTTCGTTTTCAAACGCGGAAGTGCGCAGATTGACGCTAAAAGCATCGTATTGGGATCCCTCTATTATGTGTTCCACTCTGTCACAACTCTGTAACTGGGTAATTCCAGAAACTAGGGGGCCATTTTTTTTTTCGTGTCACTGTCACATCTCACATATGATTTTTTAAGTTCAGAACACATTTTCTAATTTCCAAGACTGGTAAATTAATGCAAATTTACCTGCCAAACAAATAGTAATAGTTTGAAATCAATTCTGGTGATATTTCCATGTCAAAATATAAGGCATGATGCATGATGGGACATGAAAATGTCACACTTTCGGAGCCCTAATTATTTCTGGAATTACCCAACTGCTGTTTTTCATATGTCTTAGTTTTTTGGCTTCAGTTTCATCCAAATCTGAACGAATCATTCTCCTGCTAAGCTCTAAACTACTTGGCAGGGAATGGCCCAAAGTGTGCTTGACTTGCCTTGAAGTGACCGACAACGGAAATTACTCAAGAATGACTCAACTGTAACCCTGACCAGTGGCCTTTTCCTCCTAAATCTGGACGTCCTCCCAATTTCATTTTGGTAACTGCTCTCTTCGACCAGGACATATTACTAGTCTGTGTATCACCCATTCTACTTGGCCGTGAACTCCATACAAACGTCTAATACATGTACATGCGTGCATGTAATTTTGTCACATTTTTAGCATACTTTTACCATATTAGGTATACAACATTGGAAAGTTTTTTCTGCTTAATCCAAAAATACCAATATTTCAATTTTCGGAAGTTCCAACTTTCAGCTCATTTGTCACATTTGTTGAGAGACAATGAGGCTCCTACCCACTACCCATGGAGTGCCCCCAGACATAGATGGGCGCATCCTTGCTTCTCTCCTCCACCCATCTGTAGGCAGACTCAGCATCATTCACCACTCCCTCTGCCGTAGGCCAGCCACTGGAATCACCAAAACCTGGGGGAAGAAACCGGCAAAAGAATAAAGAGAC